ATGTAATGATTATGTATATGCTATACAAGTGGGCGGGGCACGGCAGCACTATTCACAGTAGCCAAAAGGCAGAAACAGCCCAAATGTGCACCCACAGAAGAATGGATAAATTGCAATATATCCATACAGGGGAATATTCTTCACCCTTAGAAAGGAATAAAGTACTGGGATATGCTACAACATGGATGAACCTCAAAAACTTGATGTCTAGCCGAAACCGGTTTGGCTCAGTGGTAGAGCGTCGGCTTGGGGACTGAAAGGTCCCGGGTTCGATTCCGGTCAAGGGCATGTACCTTGGTTGCGGGCATATCCCTGGTAGGGGGTGTGTAAGAGGCAGCTGGTCGATGTTTCTCTCTCATCGACGTTTCTAACTCTCTATCTCTCTCCCTTCCTCTCTGTAAAATATCAATAAAAAAAAAAAACAAAAAAAAAACTTGATGTCTAGTCTTGGCGCAATTGGTTGGAGCGTCAGCCTGTGCACCAAAAGGTGGAGGATTCAATTCCCAGTCAAGATACATACTCAGGTTGTGGGTTCAATCCCCATTTGGGGTGTGTGCAGAAGGCCAATCAATATTTCTCTCTCTCTCTGTCTCTGTCTCTGTCTCTTTCTTTATCTCTCTCTCTCTCTCTTCCCCTCTCTCTCTTTCTCTCTCCCTCTCTCTCTTCCTCTAAAGCAAGCATGTCAAATTCATGGCCAGTGGGCCGCATGCCTTTGCTGGCTGTGAGTTTCACATGCTTGCTTTAAAGTAAAAAACAAACAAACAAACAAAAACTTCTGATGTCTTCAAAAGGATATATATTGGACCATACAATTTATATAAAATGTCTGGGAGCAGTAAATCCATAGGTACAGAATGCAGATTGTTGGTTGTTGGGGTCAGGGGAGAGGAAAATAAGGAGTTACTGCTTAATGATACAAGGTTGATTTTGGAATGATGTTACATGAATTTTACCTCAATGAAAATTAGGGGAGGCAGGTTCCTCAATAGTGGGGAGAAAACCAAGTCTATGGGAGTGTAAGAGATAGAGACTGACCTGTGGCTTTTCATCCAGGATGTACCTAAGTCAAAGCAGCTGAAATTCAGGCCTTCAAGGTAGCTTGGTTTGTGAATCTAGATAATCCTAGCAGGTATCAGCATCAGCTTTGAGAACTGTATAATATATTAGAATACACTTCACATCTCTCTTTTCTCTTTGACCTCCAATTTAGAAGAATCATGTTACGTTGGATTGCTTGATGAGATAAAAATAGAGGTGATCCCTTCACCTAGTTTTTGTAGGGTTTTCTGATTTCGATCCAATTTAGGATTAAGGGATTTAAAAATCTTTTTTAATACGATGTGAAATAGAAAAGAATGTGTGCAATGTGTGGAGTGGGAGTTTAAATGAGAGCACCTCCTTTAGATAGTAAAATATTAAAGTGTATCAGGCGACAAAGATGTTCTGCTTAGTGCTCCAGTATTTGACTTACTACCCTATGGAGGTAAATAAAAAAGTGGAGTTGTCTGCCTCCTGCACCACCCGTACTGGGGATTGAGCATACAACCCTGGCATATGCCCTGAACAGAAGTGAAGGGACAAAGTTATTTTTAACAAAGCTGATAGTGGAAAGGAGTTTGGGGCACTAAAGTCAGCACTGAATTAGTGACTGCAGCACATAATAGCAGAGAAAGAGGCAATGGCACTCCTTTAAATAATAGTAGCAGCTGGCATTTATTGAGCACTTACTATGCACCAAACCTTATGTCTTTATGCTCCCTCCCCTCTCATTGATATATTTCTCTTTTTAGAAACATTTTTCAGTGTAACATGTTGCATAGACATAAGAAGGAAATCTTTAGCTTAGCTTAATATATTACTTTAAGGTGTACATTCTTTTTTAAAAAAATATATTTTATTGATTTTTTACAGAGAGGAAGAGAGAGGGATAGACAGTTAGAAACATTGATGAGAGAGAATCATCGATCAGCTGCCTCTTGCACACCTCCTACTGGGGATGTGCCCGCAACCAAGGTACATGGCCTTGACTGGAATCGAACCCAGGACCTTTCAGTCCGCAGGCCAATGCTCTATCCACTAAGCCAAACCGGTTTCTACAGGCATACATACTTGTTACTAACTACCCAAGCCAAGATTGGTCAGTTTTTGCATTATTAGGTGCATGAACAATTTGGATTTTGCTCTGTCATTGTGAAATATTACAAGTAGCAATAGAGGAACTATGATATTAGATGATATTAGAACTATAATAGAAAGAGTCCCTCCTATACTATTTCTATCTCTGGCAATAGAGTTCCTGAAAATGAAGTTTGTCACTAGAATGTGCCCCTGTATGGGCACATGAGTAATGGTTGCTCGGTCAAGGTGAACACCTATTGTATCCCTCTGCATTACTCCTGTGAGTGACGATCCTTCCTCCTTCCCTCCTACCTCCCCACCCGCCCCCTGCCTCATCTCATGCCAATGGGAACTTTGAATTTAGGCAGATCAACCACTTATATATAATATGTGGCTTGGGCAATTCACTGAACCTCTCTAAGCCCCATCATCTCTTCTATGGAATGAACATTAAGAATACTATGGCTGAGGGAGAAACCAAGATGGCGGCATAGGTAAACATCTAAACTGCTGCCTCACGCAACAATTTCAAAACTACAACTAAAAGACAAAACAGACATAATCCAGGACCACAGGAAGGCTGGCAGAGTGGAAATTCTACAACTAGAAGGAAAGAGAAAAGCACACTGAGACTCAGAGGAGCTGCAAAAGGTAGAGGGATAGAAACGCACGCGCGGAGAGGGCTGGCAACTAAGTACATGGCTTGCTTTCTCAATCGGGAGGGAGACAAAAGTTCCCGACTGCTCTGAACTTCAGTTCTAGGTGAGACTCTGGGGACCCAGACTCATTCGAGGAGAAACTGGACTGTCGGGCAGCAGGCGAAACTTGAGAGCGGCCAAAACCAGTTTGACTCAGTGGATAGAGCATCGGCCTGCGACTGAAAGGGGTGTGCAAGAGGTAGCTGATTGATGATTCTCTCTCATCGATGTTTCTGACTCTCTATCCCTCTCTCTTCCTCTCTGTAAAAAAGCAATAAAAATATATTTTTTTTAAAAAAATAAAGAAACTTGAGGGTGGTTTTCTCTCAGAGGTTTTTGTGATACTGATTGTAATCACTTGGGACAGTGATTACCATGGGACACTGAGACTCAGGGGGTCCTTAGGGCAGGGCTGATGGGAAGCCATTGATGAATGCTCCACCCTGAGACTCCACCCCATCCAAGCTGAGCATAGAGACTTTTGCAAGTTTTGTCTCATAAGGGTGCCTCCAGCACAGAAGTTCTCTCAGCGTAGACATAGCTGATAATCACAGCCAATTGGCCTGGAGGTCAATTCCTCCCAGTGATACCAACAACAATCAGGGCTTAACTAAAACAAGATTGTGTACACAGCCCACAAAGGGGTGCACCAAGAGTGTCCACCTCAGGTAACTGGGAGGCTGAGCCACTGGGCCCTATAGGACACCTAGCACAAAAAACCACTCTATCAATTTGGGGAAGCAGCCAAAATATGGAGACAAAGAAACAGGTCACAAATAACCTGGAAATGGAGGAAAGCAAATGACTGGATATAGAGTTCAAAACCATGGTTATAAAGTTTTTCAAGAATTTTCTATAAAAGGCTGATAAATTTAATGAGATTCTCGAAGATATGAAAAAGGACCATCTAGAAATTAAGCATTCAGTGACTGAAATAAAAAATAATATACAGAGATCCAACAGCAGACAAGAGGATGAAAAGAATCAAGTTAAAGATTTGCAATACAAAGAAGCAAAAAACACCCAACCAGAAAAGCAAAAATAAAAAAGAATCCAAAAATATGAAGATAGTATAAGGAGCCCCTTGGACAACTTCAAGTGTACCAACATCCAAATCATCCAGAAGAAGAAAGAGAGCAAGATACTTTTCTGTCATTATGAAGAAATAATGACAGAAAACTTCCCCCACCTGGTGAAAGAAATAGACTTACAAGTCCAAGAAGGGCACAGAACCCCAAACAAAAGGATCTAAAGAGGACCACACCAAGACACATCATAATTAAAATGCTAAGAGCAAAAGACAAAGAGAGAATATTAAAAGCAGCAAGAGAAAAACAGTAGTTACCTACAAGGGAGCACCCATACAATTGTCAGCTGATTTCTCAACAGAAACTATGCAGGCCAGATGGGAGTAGCAAGAAATATTCAAAGTGATGAATAGAAAGAACCTACAACTAAGATTACTCTACCTAGCAAAGCTATCATTCAGAATTGAAGATCAGATAAAGAGCTTCACAGATAAAAAAAAGCTAAAGGAGTTCATCACCGCCAAACCAGTATTATATGAAATGCTGAAAGGTATTCTTTAAGAAGAGGAAGATGAAGAAAAAGGTAAAGATAAAAATGATGAACAACAACAAATACATAGCTATCAACAAATGAATCTAAAAATCAAATGATTAAAAAATCTGATGAACAGAATAAACTGGTGAATATAATAGAATCAGGGCATAGAAAGGGAGTGGACTGACAATAATCGGGGGGAAGGGGTGTTGGGGATACGGGAAGAGACTGGACAAAAATTGTAAACCTATGGATGAGGACAGTTGCAGGGGAGGGTAAGGACAGAGGGTGGGATGGAAAACGGGTGGAGGGGAGAAACGGGGAGGGGGAAAGAAGAGGAACAATTGTAATAAACTGAACAATAAAGATTTATTAAAAAAAAGAATTCTATGGCTGCTTTATTGATACCATGGATCTATGAAGATTAAGTGGAAATATTTTGGCTTAATACACAATACAATACTTGGTATATAGTAAATATCCATACTATGTCATTGTCATCTTGTTTTATTACCCACTTTAACACCCTTTGTATGTATTAAATCTTCCTCCATGGGCCAGTGATTGGACAAGAGGGAGCAGATGCTAACCCTAATTCCTGAGGGCTTCCCTTTCTTACAGCGGAAGTGTGCATTGGAATCCTCTTGCTACTGATCTTATACAACTACTGGTTCCTGTACATCCCTTACTTGACATGGCTCTACTTTGACTGGCGTACTCCAGAGCAAGGAGGCAGGCGATCCAACTGGGTCAGAAGCTGGGCCGTTTGGAAGCACTTTAATGACTACTTTCCAATTCATGTGAGTAGACTTCTTTTATATAGTATGATTTTGAGCTTGAAGAAGAATGAAAAAATTTTATTACATATATTTCTCTTTTTAAATATATTTTTATTGATTTCAGAGAGGAAGGGAGAGGGAGAGAGAGATAGAAACATTAGTGATGAGAGAAGCCATTGATTGGCTGCCTCCTGCCCGCTCCCCACTGGGGATCGAGCCCACAACCCGGGCATGTGCCCTTGATCAGGATCGAACCTGGGACCCTTCAGTCTGCAGGCTGATGCTCTATCCACTGAGCCAAACCAGGTAGGGCTATTACATATATTTTAAGTTTTTCCTTTCAGAGGGAGAAAGCCTACAAATCAGCCCAAGTTACTAAGTAGACTGTAAGCTAAGTTAAAACTTAGGCTGTTGTGAGGGGCTCTGAACTCAGGAAATAGTTAAGAATTTGGGGAACGGTTTTAACCCAGGGAATAAAAACAAGTCATATTCTCCATTTCCTTTTTAACATTTTTTTTCACTTCTTTTTTAAAAAAATCCTCAACCAAGGATATTTTACTCCATCCTTGGGTGGAGGGGGAGAAAAAGAGAGAGAAAGCAACATCAATGTGAGATAAATACATCGATTGGTTGCATGGATCAAACCACAACCCAGCTACCGGCCCTTGATTGCGAATCAAACCTGGACCTTCAGTCCACAGGAAGATGCTCTAACCACTGAGCAACTAGCCATGGCTCATATCCCCTTGACATAATTGTTAGTCATTTAGTTTCTTCCTGGAAACTAGACAGGGAACTTTTTTTTTTTTTTTTTTAAACTCAATGTAAATGTGTTGTAGCTCATCAAAACTAGTGATTTGGATCCAAGTCACAACTACATATTTGGGTTTCACCCCCATGGAGTGCTCGTGGCTGGAGCCTTTGGAAATTTTTGTACAAATTATTCGGACTTCAAGAAGCTCTACCCGGACTTTACTGCATATCTCCACGTGCTTCCGATTTGGTTCCGGTGCCCTCTCTTCCGAGAATACCTGATGAGCAGTGGTAAGTAAAGGCAGATTGCTGTTTCTGCAATGTTCTAGGAAGACAGGATTACACAGAATGCCCCTCCCTCTCCCTGCCCAACCCAGTTTTAGAGTCTTTATCCCAATCTGGCACTTTTTGGTTATTTCTTGACTCTCTTACAGCACTATAAATGCCAACACAACACAGACTGTCCTTTTCTCTGTCCACCCACAGATCTAGCATACTGCCTGGAATTTAGGGATGTTCAATAGATATGAATTTAATGAAAGAATAAATTGATGAGTCTATTTTATGATCCCAGATGTGATAGAGAGAATCAAATAAGTGGTAAATGGCAGCGTTGGAAAAGTGCCTGAGATACTTCTATGGATATTAGAGATGAAAAATGTCCTCTAAACTAAACATAATCTTTTCCTTCCCAGGTTAAATATAATGGGTCAGAAATAGGAGTGCATTACTAGTGGAAGATTTTTTGATTAGTGAAGCTGTAATTCTACCAATTATGAGAATAAATCTGAAATGCTATCAAGATACGATATAAATGTGTACAATAGCTCTCACCTCAACTGAAGAGGCTCATTTTGTTTGGTTTTCCAATTTGACCAAATTATTAACTAACCATAAGCTATAGTAACTGAGCAAGTGCTTCCTGTTTATGATCATTGTATAGGTTAATTATTATTGCCTTTGCATTTCTTGGATATAAAGGAAAGTGAATAGTCTTTTTTTTTTTTTTAATTTCAATTTCAGGATCAATAAGTGGCATATTCAGAGATAGAATTTTCCATGGTCTTCCAGGTTTTCATTACTTCCTATTAATCTATCAATTCTCTGTTGTCATAAATACGGGCTAGGAGTCACTCAGCACTGAAGAACCAGGATCAATGGCTGGATTTTTAGGTTCTGTTTATGGACCTTCGCCCATATGGCCCTGGGCTCTCTGTCCAGTCTAGATTGCCACTGCCTGTGGCCTCTAGGGGGTGCACTAAAACCCCCAAAATACTATAGAGGAAAAATACCGGTATCCCTTCTTTTCAGAGTTGTGCAGACATCGTTTTGGAATTTTTTTCCTTTTTATTGAATTAATTAGGGTGACAGTTAATGAAATCATATGTTTCAGGTGTACAATTCTATAATACATCATTTGCATAATGTATTAAGTGTTTACCACCCAAGTCAAGTCTCCTTCCATCACCATTTATCCCTCCTTTACTTTCTCCTACCTCTCCCATCCCCTTTCCCTCTAGTAATCACCATAATATTGTCTGTGTCCACTTTAATCCCTTCACCTTTTCCACCCGATCTACACCCTCCCCGCCTTGCCCCTGTCTCCTCCCTTTTGACAGTTGTCAATCTATTCTCTATCTATGAGTCTGTTTCTATTTTGTTTGTTAATTTCCATTTGGGATAGCTGGTTGGACCTGGAGAGCATTATGCTAAGTGAAATAAGCCAGTCAGAGAAAGAGAAGTACCATATGATTTTACTCATGTGTGGAATCTAATAAACAAAATAAACTAACAAATTAGAGTTTTATAAAAAAAAAAATTAAAGGGAAGCTTTAAAAATTTCAAAAAAAAAAAAAAAAAGCACTGAAAGATATTTAGAGTAAATAGCTGCTGATTCAAAGTATAGCCATAGGTGAGTTTGAATAGCGTAATTGAGAGCTGGTGTGGCAAATTCATGGCACAACTGATGCAGGTGCACCTTGTCTGTTGCATGTTAGATACAAATAATCAATCATAGAGTCTTTGTCCATGTGGTGCCTCCACAGCCACTGCCATTTACTGGAGTTGGCATCTGAGATGAGACGTGTCTATCACTAGCTTATGACACCATGAGACCTTTTCCTTTGCTATAACCTAAGATCTTGGTCAGCAAATTGCGGCTCGCAACCCACATGCGGCTCTTTGGCCCCTTGAATGTGGCTCTTCCACAAAATACCACGGCCTGGGCGAGTCTGTTTTGAAGAAATGGTGTTAAAAGAAGTTTAAGTTGAAAAAATTTGGCTCTCAAAAGAAATTTCAATTATTGTATTGTTGATATTTGGCCCTGTTGACTAATGAGTTTGCTGACCACTGACCCAAGATATTCCAAAAACAAAATAAATGGTACATTTGCACAATGGAATACTACTCAGCTGTAATAAATAAATAGATAGATAGATAGATAGATAAATAAAAAAAAGAAAAAAAAAGAAGGAAGTCTTATTTTTTGGGACAGTGTGGATGGACCTGGAGAGCGTTATGCTAAGTGAAATAAGCCAGTCAGAGAAAGACAAGTACCATATGATTTCACTTATGTGTGGAATCTAATGACAAAAATAAGCTAGCAAACAAAATAGAAACAGACTCATAGATACAGAAAACAGACTAACAGCTGTCAGGTTCTGGGTGAAAAGGTGAAGAAGGGATTAAGAAAAAATAAAAATAAAAAAGACAACAGTCTGGTGATTAGCAGAGAGGGAAGGAGTCTTGACTTTGGGTGGTGAATGTACAATACAATATACAGATGATGCATTACAGAATTGTGCATTTAAAACACATATGATTTTATTAACCAATGCCACCACAATAAATTTAATTAAAAAATTTAAACACTAAAATAAAAATATGCAAACTTGTAGCCAGTGGAGATGCAAAGTTAGAGTCAATCCCTGCCAGAACCTGCTTTCCAGCACAGGCCTGGGTCCGAGGCTCAGTGCCTGCCTCAATAGCTGCTGCTCTGAGTGTGAAAGACAGATGCATGCGCCAGACCTCAGATAGTGAAGAACCAATAGGGTTTTAGGGATCCTTTGCTATCAGATGCTTGTTTTGCTCTTACTCCTGGGATTAATGTGGCTTCAGTCCTACCTCCCCTACCCCCTTTCCCTCTAGTAATCACCATACTGCCTCCAAACGCTTGCTTCCTCTTGGCTCATTTTGCTGAATGGGCACCCAGTCGCTGTCAGCCAGAGCACATTCTGTGTTTCAAGGCTCCTACTAAGGCTGGGCAGGTAGTGGAGGGCAGATCACAAAAGGCTTATATGCCACGAGGAGGACTTTAGACTGTATTTTGTAGGTAAGCCCTGTGAACTTGGGAGGGGTTTTGAGCAAAAGAGGGACCTGACTGGATTGTGCATGTTTGAAAGATCATTCAGAGAGGAGCTGCATTAGAGGGAGGTGAGCCTGGAGACTGTGATGATAGAAGGGGCCTGTTGGAGTGATCAGGGAGAGGAGTTGAGGGCTCAGCCAGCACAGAGATCATGGCAGTGGAAACACAGAAGAGGGGGGTTACTATGAAAAGCAGTTGATAGAGTCAGCAATATTTAATGAAGGCAGCCAGCCTGTAGTAATATTGTCACCCTATAATCAGCATCTAGCAGGGTGTCTTGCTTGTAGCAGGTGCTCAGGAAACGCTTTTGAATGAACGAATACGGTCAACGTGGTGGCCAAGAAGAGGGGACTACATATGGGACTTGGTTTCTGACTTGAGTGACTTAGATAGATGATGTTCCATTCACCTGGATAGGTAACGTTGGGCAAGGAACAACTCTGATGAGTGATTGAATTCATTGGGTTTGGAACCGTGGAATCTGAGGAGTTTCTGAGCTGTAGAGGTAGACAGAGTGTCCAAATCTAAGCTGTACTGGAAATCTTGTTAGATGTGCACTGATGCCGTAGAATATTGTGATTAATGTGTTTTCAATTTTTAAAAAGGATAATTAGTCACACCTTTTGTTTTATTCACCAAGGGCCAGTCTCAGTTTCCAAGAAAAGTCTGTGCTACGTGCTGAGCAAGGAGGGAGGTGGAAACATTTCAGTCATTGTCCTTGGGGGTGCAGAGGAATCCTTAGATGCCCATCCCGGGAAATTCACTCTGTTCATCCGCCGGCGGAAAGGATTTGTGAAAATTGCTTTGACCCAAGGGTAAGTGGCTTTTCATCTTGGGTGACTGGGTCAGGGAAGGCAAGACATTATTAAATGAGCATGAGGAAGTAAAGTAATTTTTGTAGCCCTTAAAGACAGTCCTCCTTCTAATCAACCTTTCCAAAAGGTAGCTCAAAGCTATGGCACCCACCAACTAAAATGCCTTTAAAAGCAAAGCAAACAGAAAAACATACCAGATGTCCAGCCAAATGAACAAAGGAACCATGGCCAAAACAATAGATGAAAAATCTTTCTGGAACCTTGATTTTCTATAGAATAATTTCCATAATCACTAGGCTGCTGAAATGTCTCCCAAAGAATTTCAACTGTAAGTCAGTGTCAATGTATGGAACATGAAGTTAGTAGCATAGGTTGAGTTGGGGACCTTAAATAACTGTTAGAGATCTGTTGCAGATCAATTGGACATTATCACATCTTTGCATCCTTTTCATTGAAACTTCTTATTCTTTCCTTTTTTGTTATTATTATTTTTTTTATTTGCAGCGCCTATTTGGTCCCTGTGTTTTCTTTTGGTGAAAATGAACTATTTAAACAAGTTAGCAACCCTGAAGGCTCATTGCTTCGGACTGTGCAGGATAAACTACAGAAGATCATGGGGTTTGCTTTGCCACTGTTCCATGCCAGAGGAATTTTTCAGTACAGTTTTGGCCTAGTGCCCTATCGGAAACCTATTCACACTGTTGGTATGTACAATGAAGATTGATGCTAGTTTTTTTTTTTTTAATATATATTTTATTGATTTTTACAGAGAGGAAGAGAGATAGAGAGCTAGAAACATCGATGATAGAGAATCATCAATCAGCTGCCTCCTGCACACTCCCCACTGGGGATGTGCCCAAAACCAAAGTACATGCCCTTGACCAAAATTGAACCTGGGACCTTTCAGTCCGCAGGCCTACGCTCTATCCACTGAGCCAAACCAGTTTCGGCAAGACTGATGCTTGTTAAAACAAGTAAAAGCATTATCTTACTTGGAGCATTGTTTGTTATTATTGACTGAGGTGCTAATCCCAAGGGAAGTAGCTTTGAGTGAGAACTCCTTAAAATAACAATTCTATAGAAGTTATTTGAGCTTTATGTCCAGTATGCCTGTTATATATAAAATGACTATATTTTGTATTTGAGTGTGAATTGATGACTTCCAAGATCACTGTTCTTAAACTACAGGTAGAATGCAATTTTAGAAATAAAATTTCTAGTCTTCTAGGATGAATCTATTTCTCTGTAGCAGCAGAGTATAACAGCAATTCTTTGATGAAGTTACATCGAATTTATTAATATTTACAAGTTTTTGTATAAAAGATGTTTTCATCATGTTAGTATACATAGGCATCAATTTCTATAGCAAGTGCATTCTTTTTTTTTTTTTAATATATTTTATTGACTTTTTACAGAGAAGAAGGGAGAGGGATAAAGAGTTAGAAACATTGATCAGCTGCCTCCTGAATACTCCCCACTGGGTATGGGCCCACAACCAACGTACATGTCCTTGACTGGAATTGAACCTGGGACCCTTGAGTCTGCAGGTCAACGCTCTATCCACTTAGCCAAACCAGTTAGGACACAAGTACATTCTTTTTATGCAACTTAGATATATTTATGTGTATCCTATTATAGACTGATTTTATTTTTTAAAGTTGCATGTTTAACCCAACCAGCATGGCTCAGTAGTTGAGTGTTAACCTATGAACCAAGAGGTCATAGTTCAATTCCTGGTCAGGGAACATGCCCAGTTACGTACTAGATGCCCAGTGTAGAGTGTGCAGGAGGCAGCTGATCGATGATTCTCTGTCACCATTGCTGTTTCTATTGCTTTCTTTCTCCCTCTTCCTCTCTAAAGTCAATAAAAAAAATATTTTTTTCGAAGTTTCAGGTCTAGGGAAATGGAGGTGGGGGAGGAAGATGAGAGACCATGTTGATAAAATGGCTGAGTAATTAGCTCCTTAGGTTGAAAAGGAACTAGAGAGTTGGAAATGAGAAAGCTGAGTCAGGTGCTAATATCAGAATTAACCAAAATTATATACTTCATAGGAAACTGAAGTAAGAGTCCCACTATGGATAGCTCATTAACTAAAATACAGATATTTCCTTTTGGGTCTGTTTCATTAGAAAAGGATTTTATTACTGTTAGCTTACAAGAACTTAGCATTTCACATGCAGTCACATGAAATTTTTAAAAGCTATATTTAACTCAAATGGAATGTTAGAAGATGTTGATCTGTTAATGTAATAGAAATAGTGAGATAAGTTTAAGTCTGCAATTGTATTTTTCAGGATAAGCTAATTATATTTTTTGGCATATTGCTAATTAGTCATTTTGATATTTTATGTGAAAAATACTGTAGTTGGTATTTTTTGGGGGGGATATAAGGAAAATGGCAAGACATGCTTTTAGGAACTGGAAGTTTAATTAAGTGTAACACATATGCATCATGAAAGAAGTTGTGAATGTTCAAAGCAAGTATATTTTTTCAGGTTAAATGATCATAGTTATTACCTGGTTGGCTTCAACATTTAAAAAATTTTATTCTTCTTTTAAAAATTTTTATTGAATTGATTGGGGTGACATTGATTAATAAAATTATATAGGTTTCAAGTATACAATTATATAATATACGTCATCTGTAGATTATACTGTGTGTTCACCATCCCAAGTCAAGTTTCCTTCTAACACCATTTTTTCCCACTGTAAACATTTTTTAAAAAGTAGTTTGTCATCGACATAGACTGGTTACACTTCTACTGGCAAGTAATTAATTGATCAGTGGTCAAATGGAAATGACCAGATTCAAATTTGTTATCAAGACTAGAAAACTACAGCCTGGTTTTTACTCATGCCTGTGTCCAATGGGCTTCTCTTAAAGATTCAGGAAAAGGAAAGATTCCTTCAGCACGTTTATATTTACCCCTGAACAATTACATCAGAAAGACCATTTCTCGTCGCTAGCATCTCAGTTTTCACCATTACTTGAAATTTCTCGAAACCCACGCTATGAATCTGAATGTTTCGAGGACTCAGCTGCCATGATCCGGTGGTGGTCTGGTGGGAGTCAGATGATTGAGAGCAGCCTGATGGTGTGAGCTAGACCCCCGGATGAGGTGTAGTTAAAGACTTGTGTAGTGACTTGAAATAATACAAGTTGAGGACAAGATTTTTACAACTAGAGTCCTGGGCATGATATTTGTGTAGCAGGAGGGATCTTCAGCTTGGCCTGCACCCTCTCACAATCCAGGACCCTTTGGGGGATGTCTGACTGCGGGATCAGGCCTAAACCAGCAGTTGGACATCCCTCTTGCAATCTGGGATCGCTGGCTCCTAACCACTGACCTGTCTGCCTGCCTGATTGTCCTTAATCACTCTGCCTGCCTACCTCATTGCCCCTAACCACTCACTTGCCTGCCTGATTTCCCCTAACCCTACTGTCTGCCTGCCTCATTGAGAGAGTGAATACTCAGAGAGACGCACCAGCCGCTATGGATGGGGGGGGGGAGGGAGGGGGAACAGTGATAAATGATATTATTGAGACATTTGGTCAAGTTTGAATGTGGATTAAGTACAAAATAATATTGTGTAGAGGTTTAATTCCTTGGGCATGAAAATGGTGTTGTTATGTGGGACTGTTTTTGTTCTTACATGCTAAAATATACAGGGATGATTGAATGCTTATTGTCTACAATTTTAAAATGTTCCTACAAAAAATAAAAATAATAATACCTATATATATTCATATATCAGATTCATATACTTATGTTGGCAAACAGTTCAAAATCGGTGAGTCTAGAGGAAGAGTGTGCAAGTGATTTTGCATTATTTTTTTCTAGGATTGAAATATTTTAAAATAAAAACAGGTGGGGAGAAAAGGATAGGGAAGGGACATACTTTAAATAAAACTGGTTTGAAACCACTTGAGGACAAAAGTATTCTATATGTTTCAAGTCATATTTATACCTGATGGGGGGAAAAGCACATAAAGGGATTCTCTGAACTAGAAGGAAAGGAAGGGGAACCTTTAATTGAAATATTCATTGTAGAGATTAAAAGAGATCATGTTAAGGGGACGAGTATTGTGCCCTTTATGATGTATAAAGTGGTCCATAAATGTTCATGAGTGTGTGGTGTGTGTGTGTGTGTGTGTGTGTGTGTGTGTATGTGCATAGATACACACACACTTACATTGAGCATCTTTTAAGCCTTCACCATAGCCAGAAGTTGGACTTGAACCCAGGTTTCATCTGGCAGCCACATTTGGACTGCTCACAACCCTGCCCTGCCATGCAGCTCTCTGTCTGCCCTTTCTCTAGTGTGCAGCTGTGTAGCTTCTAGAGAGAGTAATTCCTGTGTGAGACCCCTAAGGAGAGAACGCTTTGGAGTTTTCATAACCACAAAAAAGCAGGACAGAGATTTCTTATTTTGAAAAATCTCATTGCCTCAACAAGGAGAAAATAATGCCCATTTCCTAATTTTTCTCCAGCTGTATATACAGTGGCTCACGTTCTTCATCTTTGATAAATACAACACAGCACCACAGAGGTTAGAGCGAGGCTGCTATGGAAGCAACAGATGCATAAGTTGGGTAGACCTCAGATTGTTGGGTGGACTTGGAACACGGAGCAGGCGGGCATGCCAGCTATAAAAAGCACGGAAACATAAACAAGCGCTCTGGTTTCTGACTCTGCCACCAGTAGAAGTTGGGTGATTTTTTTTCCAGGGCAACGAACTCTCTTTCCAAGAGCAGCCTGATGCAGCTGGTTTTTCCATTGTGTCATAAGAAGAGAATTATGCAGCAGTTTGCCACTCACTTAGCTTTATGTTGAAACCATCTTTTTTCTTCTCCTTAGTAGTGAACCTCTCCTTATTTGAGAGAGAGAGAATTCTGATCAGGGGACCCTCCTCAGATTTGCATATTTTGGTTCATTATCTTTGTCTTTATCCCTAAAAAGTAATTAAGAAAGATTTCTTACTCTGATCCAATTTTGGGGTCAGTTTTGTAATGAGGGGCAGGGATTGTTATGGCCAGATTATTATGCATTCAGAGATCGCAGGTCATAATAAACTGGCCACTCAATGTATAATAAAACCATTAATAAGAAAGGGACAGAAGTTAACTGTGAGATAGCGCACAGAAAATAAGACTCAACTTCAGAATCCACAAGTCCTACGGTAATTAAAGCAAGCTGGGAACAATACACCTCATCTCCTTAGGCGGCTGTGTCTCTTTATGTGTTCCCCACTCCCACACTGAATAGTTAGTTGCAATTGACCTCTGTCCGTGGGATAATTTCACTAAGAAAACAAGTTTTCCCATAAAATCAACAATTCACTAGGATAGTGGTCGGCAAACTGCGGCTCATGAGCCGCAGTATGCTGCTCTGTTGACTATTGAATTTGCTGACCACTGCTAGGAGATTGATATGTAGGTTTTTCTCGCCTCCCCTCTCCCCCCAAGCAAAAACAAAGTTCAGAACTCAAAGGAAGCTTCAGATTTCCCCTAACTGTACTCATATCCATGCATGTGAAAATCAAGGCTAGGGCAGAAGTTGCCTGATAGCCCAGTGGGCTTGCTGGTGAGCTAGCACTAGGCCTGGTCCAGCCCGGTGCTTTCTGCGCCTCGCCAGCTCCCACTTCCGCCCATGACCACATTAATCTCAGTGCATATTCCCAGCCACAACTCACAGCGTGACGGTTGTGTTTCTAGCTCTCCATGTTGAATTACAAAGGACTGATGTCTACTTTATAGAAATTTGACATCAAAACTATTAAAGAAAACTGTACATGAGCTTCTTGAGGCTATATCTGGTTTAAAAGTTAGCAGTTTGAGAATATTAATGTGTATATGTGTCATGGGATGACCCAGGATGGGCCAAAGGAAATATCCTTCTCTTTGAGTTCTGTTCTCTTACCGAAAGCCCAAGCTAATCAAAGGGAATAAGCAGTTTGCTATCCAAGCTGGTCATTGAACATCCTGCACATTTTAAACTCTTGGCATCAGTAGCAGCATCATACCAGCAGAGGGCGCAGTGATTAGCAGAAAAGACACAGGAGAGCAAAAGCCATGAGTAACTGTATTTTCTAAACTTGAGATAGGTTAGATAAAAGTTATTTATTATATAAATGGCTTTTAAAATACGTATAGTAATTTCCAGGTTTTAAAAAATTAATTAGCTCGTTTTTAATTACATAGGTAAAACACAAATGTAGAAAATTTACACAGTACAGATAAAGTGAAAAGTTCCTTCAACTTCCTTCCTTGGGTTATCAGTCTCTCCAGACTTTTTAAAACCTTTATAATGTACCTAGAAATATAATTTTTTTCATAAATGGGATCATATATTTTTTACTTTCCCCCCACTTATTACATTTTAGACATCTCTATGTGTGCATACATATATATTCTTTTATTCTTTTAAATTGAAGTATAATTGACATTTTAGTAGTACAATGTACTAACTTGATATTTGTGTATAATGCAAAATGATCTCCACAATAAGCCTTGTTAACTTTTGTCACCATGCATAGTTCCAAAAATATTATTTTACTTGAAAAAGTTACTGATGGGATTCCATTGAATGAATGCTCTATGGTTTATTTAATAATTTTTCTATTGAGACTTTTGGTTGTTCTCCCCCACCCCCCTCCACTATTACTAACAGTGGAGTCCTTATGATTATGTATGCTTTTTAGTATAGATATTTAGCTACGAAGATATATGTTCTCTGAATTTTTTTGGATGACATTAAACAGAGTCAGAGGAGAGGGCTGATGCCTCAGGATTCAAGACTTCACGGTCCCTCACAATAGGGGACTGTGGTTTGGCTTCCCGCTGTACCAGAGGAGGAATGCCGGTGACGCATGCGCGCAGCTGTGGCCTCTTCCCTCGCAGCTGCGGGCAGCACAGTGGCTCACTTGACTCCAAGTCTGAACCACCAGGGAACTGACCATCCAGTGTCTGCCGGGAAGGGAAGTTCTTTAATTGTCGTCAAATTATGGGGTGACCACTGTCGGCAGCCAGTAAAATGAGAAAGGGCTTGGAGCTTGCAGGGATGATGGCTTCTGATTGCAAGATCTCTCCAGGGCTGTTCATTGAGGCAGTGGTCTGGAGTGGAGTGGTTTTGGTTTCTTACGTCTGATGTGTCCTCTGTTTTTGCAGTTGGCCATCCAATCCCTGTTCACCAGACTCTGAACCCAACCCCAGAGCAGGTCGAGGAGCTGCATCAGACCTACATGGAGGAGCTCAGGAAGTTGTTTGAGGAGCACAAAGGGAAGTATGGCATCCCAGAGCACCACACGCTCGTGTTTAGATAACAGTCCTCTTAGAAGGCCGCGGGAGGATGGGAGAATAAATATGTTACATCCGTTAATTTCGTTCCTTGACTATGGAATTAAATTTGCACCTGGAAAGTGTTATTTATGGCGACAGATGTTGATGTAGTTCTGTGGTAAATAAAAACAGTGTGTGATGATAGGACAAGGTTAGAGATGACTGTAAGTCTATTAATGACGTCCTCATGGCGGAAGATGAAATCATCTTACAGGTTCAGAAATGGTTTAGAATTATTCACGTTCTAAAAAAAAAAAAAAATGGACAGCTTCAAAAAACAATTAGACCCTTAGGCTCAATATTACAATCATTTAAGGTGGCGTCTTCACTAAGTGTATTAGCTGTTATTCCATGCAGCTGGAACATTTAAGAGGCGGCATGTAAAATAACTTGCCATATGGAGCTAGGAGAGATCATTGCTTTTGTTGCTTGAACAGATCATTTTTTAGTGAATAATGTTACTTTTAAGACTTAGACCATTTGTTAAAAAAAAAAAAAAGACTTAGACCATTTGATCTGTTAGGTCATGCTTACCAATACATTTTTTTTTTTTTTAACAGAGAGGAAGGGAGAGAGCTAGAGAGCTAGAAACGTCGATAAGAGAGAAACATCGACCAGCTGCCTCTTGCACACCCCCTACGGGGGATGTGCCTGCTACCAAGGTACATGCCCTTGACCGGAATCGAACCCGGGACCTTTCAGTCTGTAGACCGATGCTCTACCACTGAGCCAAACCTGTTTCGGCAACCAACACATTTTTATACAATGGGGCAGAATTGTTATGCAGTTTTCAGAGTAGGAAGAATCTACCATATGGAAATCCATGTGTAGGAGAGCATGTCTCCTCATTATTTATTCATGCTTCGAAATATTCATCCTTGTCATCTGCTAAGAAATATGTCCATTTTCTATAGAAAAAGAGGAAGACACACTTTCCTGTATGTTTTGTGACATTGTAATTGTGGAAGGTTTTCATGTAATAGAAATGGTTTTCATTTTCTTCCCAAATGGCCTCTTTGAATAAGAGGAGCAATGAAAGAAAACGTCCTCTCTGGTGAGATGTGGCCAGGTCTCCATTGATGTGGGTTGTATGAGTCTCCTCTGAACTACAACACCAGGTCTGTGAGAGCTGGGACCTGTTCCTTCTGTGCCTTGTTGTCTCCCTGTGACTGGGTCAGCTCATGGCACTTAGTCGGCACAAAATAAGTATGTGCTTTATGAAGGTATTTGTAGATGAGCACAGAGACAAACTTTACCATAGGGTGAGGAATTTTTAAAGCTCTACTGTAAGATAAAACCTATCGATATAATAAGACAAGGCCCACTCGCAGAAGAAGATCACTGGCTGTGTCTGATTGTCCTGCGTGGGCCAGTATTGCATGCTTGCCAGAAGGAGGTTTGCCTTGACTAGATGAGGCCTTGACTAGGGAAGCATCTCACCCATGAGAAAATGAACCTTCTCGATTGTTCTTCATAAGGTTTTGTGGCCAATGTCCTGTTGTCTTCACAAAGCAATCCTCAAGTCCACTGACCATGGCCTTGAAATTAGGGCAGTTTCTTCTTTCTTTCTTCCTTCCTTCCTTTCTTTTTTTTTGTGTGTGTCAAAGCAGGGATTAAGACACACTTGCTTTACTAGATGCAGAAAATTGGACTATAAATCCTGATATTACTCAAAACCAAAAACAATGTAAAAGGAGCCTCCTTTACATAAAATGACACTCTACTGATCAGGGTTCAGTCTTTCAGAATGTAGCTGTGAGGCCTGAATAACCACAACCTAAAGGCCTTAAAGATATTTTTAAAAAACATTTTTAAAATTGATTTTTTTAGAGAGAATGGAAGGGAGAAGGCGAGAGGGAAACATCCTCAAAAGGTCTTTTAAGTTATTACAAAGCACATGAATATCTTTTCTTTGGAGAAGTTTATTAAATGTTCCTAGTCTTTTGCAGTTTCACCAAGTTATGAATCTTAATCTTACACTTGGGAGGCAAAGGGCCACACTGACCACCCAACACCAGCTGATTGGTAAGCAGTTGCAGCCCATGTGCGGTAACACAGAGGCACTGAGAAGTGAGAAAAGCTCTGCTCTGATGACTTGATCTAGAATTTTGCCAGTTAAAATATTTAGACATCAGCACCTTCACGTTCGGCACACCTAAAACCCTCTAACGATAGGTACCTATTAGGGAATTTATCTCTTCCTTTCTTAGGGTCTCCAGAGGTCTTAATTCTGCCAGGCCAGACTTCCTTACATTAACTCAAAGCACAGTTGTGAGTTCCCTAGAACCCTGCCAATTGCAAATGATTTTTTTATGTGAATCTTTGCTGCAACACCATTGTGGGTCATCTATTGCTGTGGTCGGCAAACTGCAGCTCTCGAGCCACATGTGGATTTTTGGCCCCTTTAGCGTGGCTCTTCCACAAAATACCACGGCCTGGGCGAGTCTATTGTGAAGACGTGGCATTAGAAGAAATTTAAGTTTACAAAATTTGGCTCTCAAAATAAATTTCAATCATTGTACTGTTGATATTTGGCTCTGTTGACTAATGCGTTTGCCAACCACTGATCTATTGTAGTCCCTAGTGTGGTTTGATGCAGATCTCTATTTTCAAGGCTCCCATCTTTTACACACTTGCACCTAAAATGTAAGCAGCAAAGCAAAACAATAACAGCAACAGCAATAACCTAGGACACTGGAGGAGAAACTGGGCGAGCTGCCTTGAGAAAATGTGCATTTATGTTGCTTGATTTGGACGGTTCTTCTTCCTGTTTCCCTCGCACACTGGGTGCAGGCTGTCATTTCCTTTGTCTGGCCGCCAGGAGTATTGAAGGGGTCTGTGTCGGGCTAAGTCTGTGGGAGGCTGCAGCCAGTGTGATGAAGGCCAGCCAGGTTTGCTCTGGTCTGAGAGGAGCCAGGGTAAGGGACGCTGTATATGATTTATGTAAACCCTTCTCCATGACTATGAAAATGTCAAAGAGTACATACTTCGGGGATGATGGGTGAGTTTTTATCGTGCACAGAGGTTTGAAAGTACCCCTCCTCCACTCCACTGTTGGTAGGAGGCACATTTCTGTCATGAGAAGCACAAGAGGTGGCATCTGGATGTGATGCCCACACTTCTGGAGTGTGACATCTCTTCCACACTACCTCAATGGTGCCAGTTACCAAAGTCTGGGGTAGATATGTGAACAGGTTGGGGTTCGTATTCTCTTCCTCAGAACAAGAGACAATATGGATGGAATTTGCTGATTGCTTTTCCCCCCAAAAGGCCCAGGGTTGCTAGTTGTCATCCTTCTCATGCATTTTTTATACTAAGTGATAAACTATCCATTGGTGGTGCTGGGAGAGATCCTCCAGGTAAAATTTCTATCTCTTTTTATTTTATTTTTAAATTTAATTTATTGGGGGTGACATTGGTTAATATGCATATCTTTTTAAAGAAGAACAACAAGGCAACTTCGAAATAACCAGCTAATGACTCTAGTTAGCTGGTTATTTCTAGGAAGTAGATCTTTGTATTAACACCAAAAGGTTTTCTCTAATACCTTATAGTTTGATTGTGTGTTTTTTAATTGAGGAAGAGGAAGGGAGAGAGAGAGAGAATCATTGATTGGCTTCTCCTGCATGACCCCCACTGGGGATTGAGCCCACAACCCAGGCATGTACCCTTGACCGAAATCGAATCCAGGACCCTTCCGTCCACAGGCTGATGGTCTATCCACTGAGCCAACCCAGCTAGGGCTATGTTTTGATTTTTAAAAGCAATCCTCCCCAGACGCTTTCAGCTTAGTTCCTTACTGTCTTAAATTAGGAGGTACATGTGTACCCCAATCCATAGTTAACCTCCATAGCACAGTCTGCCTTCTCTGATGTAGATCTGAACTCTGAGCAGTCTCTGAAAGGATACCGGGCCCCTAACCTGGCACTTTGATGGATGGTGTCACAGAGACCAAGTTTTAGAGCCAGAAGGGACTTCCTAGGCTGTCTAGATGCAGCAGTGGAACCCAGTGAAGTTGAATGTGGATTGGAGCAGACTCCATGTTCCTATCTCGTGCACTATATTTGAGCTGGAGGTGCCACTCTTTCTTGGATGTTGGTTAATAAACCCAGGGATCCCCTATAAAACAGATGTATCCAAAGAGTAGAGTGTGATTAAAAATACATCTACAAAGAGGAATTTAGCAGCTCCCAAACAGGCTCTGTCTTACTGGGACTGAGAACATTTTTCTGCTTTTGAGACCAGGCCACCACAGTGTTGACTTTTCCCTTTTGCAAGAGCTATTTCGGTGATGTGTCTGGGTCAAGTCCAAGTTTTCAACCTCAAGCTCAGCCACCAGAGCCCTTTGTATTGGAGCAGCCGGGGAGGGCGAGGTGCCTGTGCTTGGGATGGTGACAGCCTTGCACAGGACGGAGCAGCCTGGTCATTCAGACAGAGGTGGACGGAGAGTCTCTGTCACCGCATGACCACCTCTAGCCCCAAGTCCATTCTGGTTCCAGTCTCATCCAGCTGGGTAGCCACAGCTGCCTTTATTTATTTATTTATTTATTTATTTATTTATTTATTTATTAATAAAGCTCATAGATTCTGGTTGAGAATGATCCTAGGCTCTCCGGAGAACAAAGATAAATCTGACTTCCCTCCCCTGTATTCCCAGGGCTGCATAATTCTCCCCAACTTTACTTCTAGGCCAACTTCGAGCCTAGGACTTTCTGGTTGGATTCTAAACCCTCCAGTGTGGGGGTGCAGTCGTGGCAAGGCAAGCAGAGAATCTACCTCCCACTTTTCTGCTCTCCAGGCATCTATTTCACATAGGCGTTTGGCCTCCGGTCCTCCACTAACTGGGCAAGCGAGGCTCAATTCTTTCCTGTGTAAATCAAGTTGGGAGTAAAGGTCAAGGTCCCCTCTGGTTCTGTCTCTGTGGTCTCTGCTGACTTTCTGTGTGCCATTGTAATGACAACGAGTGGGAGATGTAGATTTATCT